AGCTAACATACAAACAAATGTATGAAAAAGATATACAGTTATAAATAACATGAACAATCATATATCTACCATGTAGCTAAAGGAACAGAACATTACCAGTAAATGTCTTAGAAGCTCACTATGGGCCTCTCTACAAGCACATATTCCCCTCTGCCACCTCTCTTCCCAAGGTAACCATTATACAAATTTTGGGTTAATTCTCTTGCTCTCTGTTATAATTTTAATATCTGTATCCCTAAGCGATATATTGTTAGCTTCCTACTTTATGTAAACAGAATCATAATATGTGTATTCTTCTATGACTGGCTTGTTAAACTCAACATTGTGTCTTTGAGATTCTTCCCTGTTAAAGATCACAGCTTTGGTTCATTCTCATTTGAGGACTGTGAATTATTTTATTCTTTGTTTATCCATCCTATGGTTGGACATGCAGGTTGCTTCCAGTTCTTATAATAAAAACAATTGTGTGGATATCTTTTTGTATAAATTGAATTACACCAGCACCAGAATAAAAAAAACACCTGGGTTGTTTGTTAAAACACAGATCCCTGGGTCCTACCACTGGAGTTTTATTTGGTAGATCTGGGGTTGAGCCTGAAGATTTGTATTTCTAGCAAGGTCTCAGATGATGCTGATGCCATGTGACCCAAAGACCACACTTTCAGAACCACTGCTCCAGGGCACAGACCTAAGAGTGGAGCTTCTGGGTTATAAGATATGCAAATGCCAAGCTGTCCTCAGAGTCTTCCTACAAATTCACAAATCCATCTGCAGTTGTTCTACATGTTTTTAATTATTTCTACTCCTCTGACTGTTGAGGTTTTTTTCATATATTTATTGGCCATTAATTTTCTTCTGTGTGATGACTGGTACTTGCTCATTTTTCTGTTGGGTTATTTGTGTTGTCTTTATTGATCTGTGACAGTTCATTATATCTTATGGGTATGAATCCCTTTGGTTATACAAATTGCAAAGATCTCCCAGCTCACACGCTGCCATTTCATTCTCTTTACGTTGTCTTTTGAAGAACCGAAGTTGGTAATCCCAACGGAGTCAAGGTATCAATCTTTTCTTGTTTGTGTTTTCTGTATCTTGTTTAAGAAATCCTTCTCTACTATAAGATCATAAAAATAGTCTCCTATGCTATTTCCTAAAAGTTGTATTTACTTTTCCTTTCATGGTTAAGTCTTAACTTGCCTGGACTTGATTTTAGTGTATGGTGTGAGGGAAGGATCCATTTTTAATTTTTCTGCACCATCTTAATTGTTCTGATTTTGTACTAATATCTAGAAGGGTAAGACCCATACAGAAATGTCACAAACATTCTTGGCATTTTGTTCTTCCATATCTATCTCAGAATCAGCTTATGAAGTTCCATGAATACTTCACTGGAATTTTGGTTATCATTCTACTCACTCTAAAGATCAATTTAGGAAAAATTAATATTTTAACAATGTTCCTATTAAAGAACATGTATAGGTTCATTACTGCCGCATCTCTTATGACTGTTTTTTATTGCTAATATTATTTATTTGCTGGACCCCCTTGTTTCTGATTAGCTTTAAGAGAAATTTATCTACTTTAGTTAGTTTTCTTTTTAATTTACTTTTTTTTGAGAAATTATTTTTTGTGGTAAAATACACATAACATAAAAATTAACATTTTAAAGTGTACAGTTCTGTGGCATTAAGTACATTCACATTGTTGTATAACCACTACCACCGTTTATCTCCAGAACTTTCTCCTCTTCTCAAACTGAAATGCTATAACCATTAAACGCCAACTCCCTATCCCCCCAGCCCGGCGCCTGGCAACCACCATTCTACTTTCTGTGCCTATGAATTTGACGACTCTAGGGACGTCATGTAAGTGGAATCATACAATGTTTGTCCTCCTCTGACTGGCTTATTTCACTGAGCATAATGTCTTCAAGGTCCATCCATTTTGTAGCATGTGTGAGAATTTCATTCCTTTTTAAGACTGATTAATATTCCATTGTATTATATACCGCATTTTGTTTATCCCATTTAATTTGTTGATGGACACTTGGGTTGCTTCCACCTTTTTGCTATTGTGAATAACGCTGCTATGAACATGGGTGTACACGTACCTATTTGAGTCCCTGCTTTCACTCATTTTGGGGTACATACCCAGAAGCAGAATTGATGGATATAATTATATGTTTAATCACCATACTGTTTTCCACAGAAGCTGTACCGTTTTACATTCTCACCAGTAATGCACAAGACGTTCCAATTTCTCCACATTCTCACCAACACTTGTTTTTTTCTCTTCGTGTGTTTGTTTTTAAATAGCCAGCATAATGGGTGTGAGGCAGTATGTCAGTGTGGTTTGATTTGCATTTCCCTAATGTGTTAGTTGTTTCAAAGAAACAGATTTTGGCTTTACTGTTTATTTTTATTGTATATTTGTTCTCTTTTTTGTTATCTTTAATTTTTCCTTCCATTACTTTTCTTGGGTTTATTCTGTTGTTTTTAATTCTTAATCTAGATGCTGTTGTTGAAATAAGGACCGCAGACCTAAATTTTTAAATTAGGACAGTGGTTTACTAACAGCCTATATGCCGGAAAAGAGCACACAGTCCACAAGTAGACAGCTCCACTCCTGTGGCCCCTCAGAACTGTGAAGTTATAAGAATTCTTGTGTACATGTTTATAGGAATAATATGGGCAGAATTAGCCCAGTAGCACAAAGCAGGCTTCTAGATCATACTCTGAGAAATACCTTTCTCTTTGGTTAAGGGGCTATTTTTCTTTTTCTGTGGTCAGAAGCCTGGAGCTTGTGGGCAGGGTCCCTGTGATCTGGGGAACTGGGAGGTTGGGAGGGTTGGAAAAAGTTCCTTTATGATATGGAAGGAATATAGCCACTTCTGGCAGGTCAGGGATGAGTAGAGCTTTTCACCTATGCATAGCTCATTAAATTAGGGGGGGAAAAGGGCTCAAAATTCAGCCTTTAAAGTCTTGATATGTAGTATTATTATTTAGGCCCTGGTAATTTCTATTACAATTTTTTGATTTATAAGTTGTTTAGAAGTTTGGTTTTTAATTCTATGTGGGCTTGAATAGTTTGAAAATTACACTTTCTATTCTTTCATTCATTTTCTTAGCTATTTAAACACATTTAAAGTCTAAAGTTAAACACTTTTAACCTCTTTTCAAGTAGAACCATAGCATACTTTAGCTGATTACTATCCCCACTGGCCAATTTATTATGCTGTTTTTATTCAGTATTTTATCATTTTTAACCACATATTAGACATTCTTATTGCAGTTTTTATATAGTTAGTGTATGTTTAAGTATACCTGTTTACTAATAGCTTAAGAATCCATCTTACTTCTCAGTCTTCCATCTGGGATCATTTCCGTTTCGTATCTGACGACATCCTATAGAATCTTCTTCAGAGGAGGCTGGATGGCAGCAAAACGTCTCAGTTTTGTTCTGCCTCAAAATGCTTTTACTTCATCCTCTTTATTGATATCTTTACTGTATATAACAATTCTAAAAATAGCTGCTTTTTTTTTTCTTTTTTACTACTTTTTATTTTTTTTTAATTTATTATTATTTTTTTTTATTTTTCGCGGTACGCGGGCCTCTCACCGCTGCGGCCTCTTCCGTTGCGGAGCACAGGCTCCGGACGCGCAGGCTCCGCGGCCATGGCTCACGGGCCCAGCCGCTCCGCGGCACGTGGGATCCTCCCGGACTGGGGCACGAACCTGTGTCCCCTGCATCGGCAGGCGGACTCTCAACCACTGCGCCACCAGGGAAGCCCCGAGAGCTGCTTTTCTTAGCCAACTGAAGATATAACTCCACTGTCTTGGCTTCTACTGTTATTTTTGAAAAGTCAGCTCTCACTGTAAATGCTATTCTTATGTATCTGTTTTGTCTTTCTGGCCGCTTTTAGTATCTTTTTTGTTTAAATTCTTCAGTTTCATTATAAAATATCTACTTAAAATTATCTCTTTATTTCTTCTGCTTGAGATCTGTTGGGCTTTCTGGATCTTAGGTTTAATATCATTCAACAGTTCTGGATTGGAACTTGTTTTTTTTCTTCCCATTTTCTATAGTATTTCCTTTTGCAATTCTTTTTAGCCTCTTAGTTATCTTCCTAGTCTCAATCTCATTTCATACTTTCCCTCTCTTTGCCTCTTTGAGCCATATTCTGGATTGCTCAGATCAGTTTTTCAGTTCATCAGTGTACTGTTCAACTGTCTCCAATCTGTTTAATCCATTGAATTTGTAGCTCCTATTTTTATATTTTTCATCTCCAGAAGTCCCATTTCTTTATTTTAAAAATCTGTGCAGTTATTTATAGTCTTTTGTCCTTATGCATGATTTCAATGCTTTTAAAAATATTTCTGAAACATGTTAAAATATTTATTTATATTTTTTGGCTGATAAATCCAATAATATTTACAGGTCCAACTCTGTTGTCTATGGTTTCTGCTGGTTTTCACTCACGGTGACTTATTTCCTGTGTTCTAAGTGAAAGGTGCCTTTCTCCAGAGGGGATTTCTGTTTATTTCTGAGTCACCTAGGGTTGTTTAGGATGTTTACACGGCCATCGTGCTATAAGGAATCCCTACTTTAATCTTTCTCTCCTTTCCCAATGTTTCTTGAAAGAAACAGTTCCTCAACGGATGGAAATGAATGCTGGGAGCATCTGCTATCATTCTTACGAGGAGGATCACAACTTGGGTTATTCCCACTTTGTAGGATATGAAGTAAGAATGTGAGAAAGATATACTGCTGAAATATCTCACCGAACAAATTCTTTACCACCTGTATCTAGGTTTAACTTAAGGAGGATTTTTATTTGGCTGTGAAAGTACCTCTAATAAGAAATGTAGTCCCTTTTGCAGTTTTGTTACTAAACCGTCTATATCAGAATGAGTGATGAAAAAAGTGCAAGATTATTATTTATTTCAGTCACATGAAAGACCGCTTGAGGAACAACCCTCCAATCATAGAAATGCACAAACCTGTGAGGGTCATCTGCATCACAGTGAGGGAGAAACTGAGTGATTGCTTCTGCCACTTCTTCATTTGATAAAACATCCCAGAGTCCATCAGTGGCCAAGATCAGCACATCGTCTGCTCCATGCTCGTATCTGGAGAGATCGTAGACTCTTACCTGAAATGAACAGCAATACCCCTGCTTAAGAAGTTGGGGGCGTATTATTCCCCCTAGCAGACCGGCTTCTGATTTCCCTTCCCTTTTCCTGCCCAGCCCAGTGGTTTTTAGGTGTGCGCTATAAGGCACTGTAAGGCACTATACAGCAAGCTTTGTGGCCCAGGGGTAGCCTCCTTTGAAGACTTGCTGTGTAGACATATCGGGCCCCAAACACAACTGTGAATGAGCCCAATAAATTAAGAGTTGACAAGAAAGAAATTAACTGAAAATGTAATGCCTGAAATGTGGCTGGAACAGTGACTCACAATAGATACAGCGGTAGCTAGAAGAGCAGCCGGAGGCTTGCTGCCTTCCTTCCTTTGCACATCCATCCCACAGACATTTATTAAGGGCCTGCTCTGTGCCAGGTGATCTAAGTATAAAGATAAACAGCAGATTTCCCTGCTTCTGAGCTCTCAGTCTGCAGGGGAGATAAGACCAGTCTAGGATCCAAGGCAGCTACTCTGCATGTACTGGTTTAGGACTAAGGAGACACACTTTATTTCATGTACTCACTTGATACCTTTTGGCTTACCTGCTCTGAGGCCCATGGGGCTGGACTTATCGCATGAAACGATGGGGCTCTGATACTACACGCAGGTTTGAGGAGCCTCAGCCTAGCCTAAATCACAAAGGACACACGCCAAGTCTGAATCTCCTAAGTGTGTCTCGACAGACTTTAAGTCTGTCCTCACCTCTAGTACCTGGAATGACTTGGCTATTTGAACATCCCCCTCAACTCTTGGAAAAGAACATAGTGACCTTAGCAAAAATAATAATAATAAAAATCAAGGCTTACTTGCACTAGGCCACAACTCCATGTTCCCCCTACTCGGGCAGGATGGGAGGGAGAGGAGTTTGGGATTTCATTGCTATTCCCTGCGAATTTGACGGGACCAGCCCCTGCCTACACCAGTTCATGAGCTGAGGACAAATGCAGGTCAATTTCATCAATCTTGCAACTCTTTCAACCCCACCTCATTATCCCGCTAAAAACAAGTCTGAGTGAAAGGTGTAGGCCAGGGGAAGGGAGGGGAAGGGAAAGAAAGGGAAGGGAGGGGAGGGAAGGCGGATGGAGTGTAGGCAGCTGTTCCCGTGCCCCATCACACACAATCACTGTCAGGTCATCTCAGATCTCGAGAGAATACAATTCTAAGAGGCCTGCAGAACGCTCACATCCACATCTTCAAAAGCCAAGCCTCCTATGTTTTAGGAAGGTCTGCCCAGGCCAGTGACGCCCTGCCTGCCACAGGGCTGGTCCTATGGACGAACAGCCTACACCCAGCAGCAGAAAACAACAAAATGCCCCACACTTGCCCACAGAGTTTTTGGAAAATGAGCTCAAATGAAAAACAGCCTTTGTGGCCGGTGAACAAGACGGCAACAATTAGCTAATAGCGCAGCCCATGGACCGCACTCAGGAGAGGAGCACTGGGGGGAAGACTGGACTGGCTTTTAACATCTTCCTCTCAAAAGGCAGGGGGAGTTTACATTCTAGAGAAGGCACTGTGCCCTATGAGACCAAATTAAAGAAAACAGGAGGGGGGAGTCTTAAGTTTACAACAGACTGGAAAGTCCCAAATGCCAGAATTTTGTCTTCAGGCTGCTGAACTCCTGTGGTTCGATTTTGACTCTAGCGGCAACCGGATCCCCTCTGCTTTACCTTCTGTGGTCCCTGGGTGTCTTAGAGCAGTGCTTCTGAAATGCTGATGTGCACAGGAATCAGCCCGGGACCCTACTAAAATGGAGATTCCAATTCACTTCTGGGGTGGGGCCTGAGAGCCTGCATTTCTTTTTTTTTTGTTTTTGCGGTACGTGGGCCTCTCACTGTTGTGGCCTCTCCCGTTGACGGAGCGCAGGCTCAGCGGCCATGGCTCACGGGCCCAGCCGCTCCGCGGCATGTGGGATCTTCCCGGACCGGGGCACAAACCCGCGTCCCCTGCATCGGCAGGCGGACTCTCAACCACAGCGCCACCAGGGAAGCCCTGAGAGCCTCCATTTCTAACTTGCTCCCACGTGATGCTGCTGGTCCCTGGACCACACTTTGACTAGTGAGGCCGCAGAGGAGTCCTACTTGTCTGTAACAAGGAATCCAAGGGCTCAGTGGCCTCTGTGATGCCTGTGTAGACTACCTTCTAGGGGAGGCTATAGCGAGGATAGCAAATGTCACCCCTGGGCTCCTAATTTCAAGTCCTGTGTCACTGTGTTGTTACTTCCAGTGTGCAATAACTTTGCTTACGAAAGACTGCTCGCTTCTTACTGGGGTAGATCTACAATAAATTTCTGGGATACTTTGAGCTCCACAGGATAGAAAATGTTTCTTATAAAGGGAGGTAGGGAGATGTGGATGTCAGGTGCTTGTAGCACCTTCAGCTTCTAGCGAACTAGGAGACGCCACCTGCCCTGCAGCTCCTTTTAAAAGAGAGGTTTCTAAGGTCGAAGATAACATCCGTTTCATTTCAGGACCTGCCCTGTGTGTAGGGTGCCGAAATCTCTTCAAGTGCTTTCTGCTGCCCCCAAAGCGTGGAGATTTGAGTTGTTTTAAGCGGAAGCTGTCTTATTCAAATGGAAATCTGGCCAACAAAACGGGTGTGGGTTGATAAATAGCAACAGGTTATAAAATGTTCCTCTTCACTTCCATCAATAAATTGAATCCTTCCCTAATTCCACTATTCACATTTCCACACATAACTCTCTAATGCAGTTTCCTTAGCCAACATGAAAATCCCTTTCAGTACCATTCTCCAAGCAATTTTTATGTAAATAGTAAACAGCTAGTCTCAACCCTATTCCCTGAGGCACTCCACAATTAACATCCTTTTAGGTTTTTTTTTTTTTTTTTTTTTTTTTTACTGCTACCCTTTGTTTCCTGCCCTTTAGCCAGTTTCCAAAGGACTTTGCCAACTTTCCACTTACAGCTCGTGTCTTATACATTAACCTGTGATGCAGAACATTTTGTGAAAACGCTCTCGGAAAAGCCGGACTGCCGTGCAAGGCATCCAACTGCACGCTTATCCTCCCCAGCAGCTAGGGCTTCAAAGGATTCCAGTGGGCTCTGGAGACCCGACCTTCCCTCCCCGAAGCTGTTGCAGGGCCTCCTCAATCAGACCACACTCGCCTCCCCGGACCTCCCTGTTCCATTCCTCAAATACCTTCTTAATGTTCCGGGAGGCTTCACATCAAAAGTAACGGGGCTCTGTGGCTCGCCAGGACTCAGACATGAGGAAGACAGTCTCTGGGAGGGGAGAGATATGATCTGCAAAGGCCTTTGTGGGAAGGGGGTCTGGAGAACACGGGCAGGGTCCTAGTGGCTCCTTCCCGCGTGCCCATCTGCCAAGAAAGGCCATGGGCGTCCTGAGACTCTTGTTGTTTCTCAGAGCAACAGAATTTGAGCTGTGGAGAGATGAGGCCGGGGTGGATCCATCTGCCCTCCTGGACCCTCCATGACATGTTTATTGAGCACTTACTATGTGCCAACAGCTGTGAACAAAAGTGACAAAGTCCTCACAACTTCTAAACTAGGTGCAATAGACACACAAATAAGTTACAATGCCAGAAGATGACAGGTTCTTGAAGAAAAGTCAGGCAGGTAAGGAGAGTGACAAGAGAGCCATTTTAGAAGATATGGTTAAGGTGGGTGTCTCTGGAAAGACACCATGTGTACAGAGGTCTGAACCAGTGAGGTGACTTTCCACAGGTCCCTTGCTGTGCCTCCCTTTCCTTGCCTTTGGGGGCCTGCCACTCCTCCGGATTAAGAGGATGTGGACAGTGTTAGGCTGGTGGTGAAGAAGAGAGGCTGAGGGGGACACAGTGCCACCCTCCGCTGCCAGAGTAACCCCGAGGAAGACCTGAGGATTCTCCTTTCTCTTCCTTGGTCCTCTGCAGACACAGTCCCTTTCACGTTCACTAGCACAGTACTCATGTATTTGTACCAGTCTGGGTTCACTTGTCTGTCTCTTCCACGTGAGTAGTTATTCTCAAACTTTAATGTGTTTAAGAATCACTTGGGGTGCTAATTAAGATTCAGGGACCCGACTTTAAAGATTCTGATTGTGTAGCTCTTAGCCCAGGCATCAGCCTATGTAAACAAGGGTAATTCCAATGCAAGTGATGGGGGAACCTCACCCTGAAAACATGGTCTTAGGCAGTAAGCTCCCCTGAGGCGAGGTCTGAGTTGTCCTATTTGTTTCTGCCCCGCCCCCACCCCACCCCGAGCAGAGCACAGAGCCTATAGCTCTTGGAAACCACACAATAAACCACCAAGGGAAGCATTTCCCTTGCTGGACATTTACCCTTGTCCTGCTTACAGTGAACACCCTGAGAGCTGGTCACCGTCTCTTCCCCCCAGACTCAACCTCTGGAGGCCAGAGATCCCATTTTGCACTTTTTCTGTGGGCCTCGCCATAACTTTCACAGAGTAAATACCCCTAGATCTTCAGGACATACTTGCTGAGACAAAGAATAAATGGGAAGAAAAGAGAAAGAAAAAGAATTCATATGAGATCCATTCCGAAGACCCCCTCAGCTCGTGGTGACCCAACCGTTTTAGCTTGTAAACGCCGACGCTCCTGGGCAGTCGCCAAACTGTGATGCGCTGATATTTACCAGGAGTAGCAGACTCTTTCCTTTTCGTGCCCTATCCTCAGGGGAGCTGCTAATAAACAGAAAACACTCAGCGTTCAGGGTGAGGGTGGGGGGCAAGCAGGAGGAAGTCTGGGGTCACCAAGGGTTGCGGCTAGTATGCCCCTGAGGAAGCCAGGTGCTGACGGCTCTCACAGCTGCCCCCAACTCTAGAGCACAGTCACCCTTACCATCATCACCGGGCCCCTGCTTTACGGGGGAGTGGAGACAAACAACTCTTTAATGCGTTGCCTCCCCTCAGTGCTCGGCTGGTTGCTGTTTCAGTGCCTGTCTAATATCTGTTTGCCCTTTTGCTCTGTTACTGAGGAAATTTCAGTGGC